GGGTTTTACCATGTTGGCCAGGCTGGTCTTGAACTCCTGACATCAGGTGATCCACCGACCTCAGCCTCCCAAAGTGGATTAGAGGCATGAGTCATCACATCTAGCCTAGGAATTCTTTAAAACAGATATTTTGCTTGGCTAAAAATTATATTTCTTGAGTATTTGAATATTAAAATGGGAAACTAGTAGAAATGAATGATTCTAACTGGAGATAAAGAGAAAAAAGACATCCAGCACTTCAGATCAGATAGTTCTTTTAGAACAGACACTTTTTATAGCCTAATTTTTATCTGTTACACTCTAGTGGGTAGAAGAAAGTTTTTTAGATTTTGTTTTCTATTTTGATGTTGTTTTTAATATCAGTAACCATATTGAGGTCATATTGTTGAACTTGATTTAATTTTTTAGATTATTGCCCCTTGCAATGAGATTCCTGTAAAATATTGCCCAGGAGTCATTGATATTTTGTGACTTCTAGCAAAGCCATTGTGTTTTGCTATTAACGAAATGCAAATTGGATTATGGTTCCTTCATCATTTGGAAGGATATGATTTTTCTTCTTGGAAAACACAGATTGCTAAAATGAACTTTCTGCAATTTTGCTTAAAATAGTGAAACTTCCGTGCACACTTTTCAGGAAGGCTACCGTACTTGTATCACACAAAAGATAATTTAGCAAGTTTTTAAAATGCATTATGGTGGAAGCTGGTCTTAGTTATCAGTGCTTCTCAATCTTTGAAGTAGATATTATCCCTTCAGAAAATTGTTTGGGACTATTTGAATTAACCAGTTGTTTTGATATTGCATAATTAATAGTGGCTGAATTCCTAGGTTTTTCTTTCTCTCTTAGGACAATCAACATTTATTATACTTTTGTATGTACATAACTTTGTATATATCAGTGACACCTAGAGCCATGGATATGTGGCAGACACTATATGGCACTTTACTGCAACTTTTGTAGAAGGTGCTTATAATCCCAATTTCCAGATGGGTAAACTGAGAATCAGACAAGTTAAGTGTGTCTAAGCTTACATAGCCACAAAGCTCAGTCTAATGACACAAAAGTCAGTAGTACATTCTGTCCCATATTAGCACACATAAAGAACCTATATTCTTCATGTCATATCCCAGACACTTTTCCTCTAGTACAGCATTTTCTCACCTGTGTTCTGTAGAACTTCAGTTTTATTAGGATACACATACTGCCAAAATAGGTTTAGGTGATTAAATGGGTTTAGGAAATAGTGGCTTAAAGAAAACAAAATCTTTCTTTAAGACCCAAAGCCTTAACATGCTCATATGCATTGTGGCTCATATACTTGTGAGAAAGGTAGATAGTCGTAGGGTGTATGTATTAAGGAAAAAGGGAGAACGTCTGCAGAACTCCCTTTATAAATGATGCCTAAATACGTCAGTGAAGACAACTTTTTAATAATCTGGTTAAAAGAAGCTTCACACCATTCTCTTTGAACGTAAAGAAGGATGGTATGGGTAAATAAAAGCTTACAATAAAATCTGTAGATTATAGTTCTGTAATAAGGTGTTTATTACAGAGAGGGCCTCTCTACTCTTTGCAAAACAGTTCTTCACAACATCTCTGGCACGGGAAGGCACAGATCATAAATCAAATCCACAGTGACTTTCACGTGCTCCTTTCTCATCTCCTTGGACTTTTCCATTCTGGACCACATCTATCCAGAAAGAATTTTAGATTTCTTCCACATCTCTGTACCTCCTTGAGTAAGTGTTAATAATGTGGTAGTTGAAGACATGAAGGTGATGGTTGTGTTAATACTTGAACTTTTCCTCTTTCAAGAGCCTAAAAGAAGGAATTATAATGGTTTCTTTTCATTCTGTTACAGGAGAAAATGCAGGACAAACACCCATGAACATCAACCCCCAACAGACCCGTTTCCCTGATTTCCTTGACTGTCTTCCAGGAACAAACGTTGACCTAGGAACTTTGGAATCTGAAGACCTGATGCCCCTCTTCAATGATGTAGAGTCTGCTCTGAACAAAAGTGAGCCCTTTCTAACCTGGCTGTAATAACTACCATTGTAACTTGGATGTAGCCATGACCTTACATTTCCTGGGCCTCTTGGTAAAGGTGATGGAGCAGAGCAAGTCTGCAGGTACATCGCTTTCTGCCACCATGACTCGTGCTCCCTCCTTTTATGTTGCCAGTTTCATCATTGCCTGGTTTCGATTGAGAGTAACTTAAGTTAAACATAAATAAATATTCTATTTTCATTTTCTGCAAGTCTGCATTCTTGTGACAGATTATACAGAATTGTGTCTACAGGATTATGCAGAATACTTTTCTCTTTCTTCTCTTCTGCCCCATGGCTAAGCTTTATGGGTGTTAATTGAAATTTATACATCAACTGATTTTAAACCATAAAAAGCTGACCACAGGCAGTTAACTCTGAGGGCAGCTTGGTCCAGGAAATGTGCACAAAATTAGACCTGATTTACTGTTTCAAAAACTGTATTGATGACAGTAGTACCCAATGCTTTAAAAACTATTTAACTTGAGCTTTAAAAATCATTGTATGGATAGTAAAATTCTACTGTATGGAATACAATGTAATTTTGAATCCATGCTGGCTCTGATGGCTCTAATTAGTCTGTATTTACAAAGGCACACACAGTCCTGTTGTAGCTTAGCCTTCATTATTTTACTGCAGAGCATCTAGACAACTTAGTCTCTCCAGTGGGAGAGTAGCAGCAGCCGCATTAGTCACAGTTCTTACTCTACAGATCGTGTGAAAGAGACCAGTTTGGTACTAATTATGAGCATTTGTTATTCAAACAAAAGTTTTTGAAATATTGCAACTTGGGATTTTAAAAATTGCAGCTTAGAATTTGATGTTTTGTTTAGTTTTTTTTTGTTTGTTTGTTTTTGGATGGAGTTTCATTCTTGTTGCCCAGGCTGTAACACAATGGCGCGATCTTGGCTCACTACAACCTCCGCCTCCTGGGTTCAAGCGATTCTCCTGCCTCAGTCTCCCGAGTGGTTGGGATTACAGGCACACACCACCACGCCCGGCTAATTTTTTGTATTTTTAGTAGAGACGGGGTTTCACTATATTGCTCAGGCTGGTCTTGAACTCCTGAATCAGATGATACACCTGTCTCAGCCTTCTAAAGTGCTGGGATTACAGGCGTGAGCCACCATGCCAGCCTTGATGTTTATTTTATAAAGCACTGTAATTTTGTAGCTGATGACAAAAGGCAGCCAAATGTTTTTGCTAAATTGGTGGCAACTGTATTTGTGTCTTTTGAAGCAATTCTGAAAACATCAGGACAACATAGATTTCAACCTGATGGCACATGCAATGAACTGTTGCTTTTAAAATTCTGAAGCCTTGTCAGGTTTGCTTTCTAGATTTCAAGTGTTTAAAGTAATTCTATCTATGAAACTGAAGGATGAAGCAGATCTCTGACTGACGTGCAAAAAAAAAAAAGAAAAAAAGAAAAAAGCCCTTTGAGGGTGTATGGTGGAGATACATGTTTCTGAATTCAGTAAAATTTATTCCTAAGTACATTATCCTAACCCTGTTTGCTACACTTGGTATAAAAAGGCATGAAATATATATTCAATACCTCTTACATAACCAAAAACATTTTTATTAGCTTTTAAGGACTGAGAGCACATCATGTTCAACCGGCATGCAGTCTGCCTGCATTGCCAATGAAGTCCTCAACTGTTTAATATTTTGAACTAGTATTATTTATAATCTATGAATTTAATCTTTTTTTTGAAAGACATTAATAATTCGGGTCTCTGAGAGGACGCTTTCAATTTCCATGGGGGACTTATTTGTTGGAGATCTTAAATAAGATTCCTTTTCATCTACCGGAATATACATGTACAGAGTACATTGGATCATGTTGGAAAGAAGGCAAGTGAAAAGGTCAGAGATGAAGTAGTGAAGTTAGGGAATATCGTGGAAAGGATACTAGTTGTGAAATGGAAAGAGACAAGTTATAGTACCCCAAAAGCAAAACAAGCAGGAGATGCGAGAGGTGCCCCAAAAGGACAAAGCAACAATTTTCTGTTACAACTTTTATACCAAAAGACTCTGTTGTAGAAGAAAAGAAGGCTTTGGAAGGAGGAGGGGCAGGGCATGCTGATGCTGAGCATGCAGACAGATAAGAGCGTAGCCTGCTGCTGCCTTCATCACTATGAAGTGACTTCTTTTTCCTGAAGGACCCTGGTTTATGTTCCTCTAATTCCTTTCACTCTCCCTAAGCCCTCTGAGAAAGATGAAGGTAGATGACTTTATTGCTACTAAATTGAAGGGAGCACTATTTCTTTTTGTCTTTTGTTAGCAAAAAATTGCAAAAAGAATTGTACATTCTTGCTAAAAAAAAAAAAAAAAAAAAAAAAAAAAAAAATTAAAAAAACAAGGGACCTAACAAAACTCAGCAGTGTTACTGTATTTTTAAAAAATATTTTTATAGACTCATTTTCAGGTTATTAAATGTAAGAGAAACAGATACCCCTTTTTTTAAGCAGTTAAATCATTGATGACTTATATTATCAATTTTTAGAAGTAATTTTCTAGTAAGCTTGTGGCATTAGAAAATACTAGAAGATTTTTTTTAGTTCAATTAGTTAGAACATTTATTAATGAATATAATAAATATTTTTGCAGAATAAAATATGGACCCTTTACGTTTACTAATAGATAAAGCCAGATATAATTTTTTTTGTTTTGTTTTTAAGACCATAAAATATGGCCTTTGTTAAAGAACACTAAAGTTAGAAATCTAAAGTTAGAGCAACTTTTTTAATGGCTATTTCCTATTATTGTAAGTGTTAAAATCCCTGCAGAATTCTTGATAAGGTGCTATTTATAGTATATTTCTTTTATAAAACAACTGTCTTTAGTCTTTTTAGTACTAGTCTTTTTAGTACTAAATCAACCAGTAAACATCATTTCACCCCAAAATTTTGTCACAAAAGAGGATCAAATGAAAAATAATTTCAGAGGTCTTTCTTTCAAGATATTTTTTTTTCTGATAAAATACATTGTCTTGAAGTAAATACATTGTCAAAACCTAATTGTAATTCTGTTAAATCTAAGTAATTGTTAGACAGCATTTCACTGTATTATCAAGGATGTGAAATGCCATTTCTTTCACTGATTATACCATATACAGGAAGCAGATAAAACAGTGAAAAATTTATTGTGTTGGTTGATGCTAACTTGGTAGAAAAGCTCTCTGCAGAAGAAGTGATCTAGAGTGACAGAAGTGTTGCTAATTACAAGTTGTGTTCTCATAACGTAATTAGAAAGTAACTTCTGAAAGTACAACTTTTATGAAAAATATAAGCTGTTAAAAAAAGGAAATCGTGGATTAATTAAATTGGGAAAATGGGCAATTGACAGAGACCATTTCCCTAACTCATAAATGTGCTAGTACTTTAACTTTTAAAAACATTTACTTCTACATTTTGTAATATAAAAATTTCTATTTTAAGTTTAGAATGTTTTGCATACCGAAAGTATGCAGCCAAATTGATCAGATCAAACCATTTTACCTGGAGTTTGGTACTGGTTTTTGCTTCTCTGATTCTGTATAAGAAAAATAAAGACAATTGAACTTGCACTTGGAGCCTTTGTCTTTTCATTATTTGTCTGTGTTCCTTTTACTGGGGGTTTTGGGTGGTACTGAAGAGAGGCTTATGTAACCCTCCTGGCAGACAGTGAAAGAAAGAAAAGTCTGTAGGCAAACAATTTCTTGGCTCACATGCCTGGCCTTCAACATTCTAAATGTTCACAGATTTCTGATTTCCACTTTATTTACAAAGCCCACTGAGGTTTTTAAAGGTGCATATATAGTCCTTCCAACACCCTCACAGATTTGACAAGATCGTCAAGAATACAGAATTCTCGCTGGGCATGTTGGCTTATGCCTGTAATCCCGGCACTTTGGGAGGCTGAGGCGGGAGTATTGCTTGAGCCCAGGAGTGTGAAACTAGCTTGGGTAACATAGTGAGACCTTGTCCCTACAAAAATAAATAAATAAATAAAAATAATTAGCCAGGTATGATAGAGCAGAATATACAACAAACTCTTACAGATGAATAGAAAAAACAAACAGCCCAATAGAAAAATGGGCCAATAATGTCAATAGAAAGTTTATAGATGATGAAACTAGGTGGTGACTAATTTACCAACCTCATTCCTAACCAGAAATTTAGATAAATAATGACTGAATTCCCAGTGGCTCATAGCCTTGCTGGAATTCTTTCATTGACCTAGACTCTGCAACCCTTTCCTGTGGACTGGTTTTTAAAATAGGTTTCTTGTAACTTAAAAGTTTGAGCTGATAAACCTTGAGCTGTAATATGCAGAGAGATGTGTTTAGAAATATTAATTTGTAGCAGTCACAGACAGTGTTTACTGGGGAGGCTTACGTGTCCTAAATAAGCTTTTCTGCCTGTAACTCATTTGGTCATATTATTTATTGAACAAAGTAATGCATGCCACACTGGTTTGCAGTTTGAGGACGAGACGTAGGATGACAACTATCCTGGTTTGCCTGGGACCAAGGGCTTTTGAAGACACAGGAATTTCAGTGTTTAAACTGTCAAATCGGGAAACGTTGGGAAGTAAGTATCATGTATTCATTGGCAGGATGGGCTACATAATTTGTGGGACCTAGTGAAAAATAAAAATATGGGGTCCCTTGCTCAAATTTATAAGAATTGCAAGATGGTGACAGCAGAGCATTAAACCAAGCGTGGGGCTCTTCTGAGTGTGAGGCCCTGTGTGTCTCCATGGGAACTGTGTCCGTGAAGCCAGCCGTGCTCACTGGTTCCTGTTTATGGTGTTTATGCAATGCTGTAAGCAAGGGATTTTAAATGCTGGTGTGTTTTTTTGTAAGAGTAAGAAGAGGCTGACATAAAGGGGGTTTATAAAAAAGAAATAATTGTAAGCATTAATCTGGGAAATTATTAGCATTTTCTCCTAAAATAACTTCTCACCAAAATTTCCAGGCAACCAGTGGTGTTTCTTGTAGTTGGAGAGAGTCAGACGGTTCTGGGGGCTCTGGTCCTAAGTCAGATTTTGTTTCCCTTTAGGGAATCAAAGAACATAGGATTCTTAAGACCTTCTTTCTTTGACATCCCCTAACATTCTGAGTCACTCATACCAACCAACCAGCATAGAGAGAGAGAGAGAAAGACAGAGAGAAAGAGTCCATTGATTCAATCATCAGTAAGTACTTGCTGAGCTCCTGGCATGTAAAAGTCACTGAATAGACATAGGAAAAACAAAGATGAAGAAAACCTAATCACATGGTTTAATCGGGGCCATACATTATGGGACAAAGAGTTACGTGAGCTCAAGAGAAGGAAAGGGGTGTGAACAGCCACAAATAGGTCATGGTGTCTGAGCCTTGTTCACCAAGGAGTTTCCCAGGTATTTCTGGTAAAGGAGATGGCCTACTCAAAAGCACAGAATTTTAAAAGAGGAGTGACAAGAAGGTCCATGGCTCTGGAGAACAAAAGTGTGAGGGCGATAAGGTGGGAGTAGAGACCAAATAAGGTAGATGGAGAGAATCCTTGAAAAGGCTTGTGTGCTTTGAATCAGAGTTGGAGTTTATCCTATACAATAGAAGCGACAGGAAGATTTTTAATAGTGGAGTGGCTTAAAGAAAACAAGTGAAAAGTGAAGATGAACCAAAATGGAGAGGAGTTGGTGGCCCTCTCCTTGTGCAAGGATCTATTTGGTACGATGAGCATAGGAAGGAATTGAAATCATGGCCTTTGCCTCCACGAAACTTATATACTACTGTGTGAATGCTAATAAAGATCAGGAGAGAAAGATCATTTGGGGCTTGGTGGTGAGGTAAGACCAGGGAAGCCAAAGCAGAGAATTCTGGGAATGGAAAACTGGTAAACAAAGGCACAGGAGGAGAAATGAAAGGAAAGCAATGTATGCTGACAATCTACTGTATTCTGGAAGTAGGCATCATTAGTTCCTGTATGTGTGTGTATTTTTATTGGAATAGGATCACACTTTTAGAGTCAGGTAGGCAGAACTAACATCTCTACAGTTCTAAGTCTTTCAATTCCATCTGTTTTCTCAGCTTTCTCAGAAATTAGATTTGAAGATGAGTAGACAAATGAAATCCCCAATAACCTCAGTCTTGGAAGTCAGGCACCAGTGCCAGCTCTATCAGAAATAACAGATATAATGGTAATCTCCAGAGATCTGCTTAATCTTTTTGGGTCTTATTCTTTATTCTCTTTACCTATAAAAGGCTCCCTTTGTGATGGGACTTGTGTCATGTACACTAACACACTCCTTTTCTTTTCTTTTCTTTTTTTTTTTTTTTTTTTTTGAAACAGAGTCTTGCTCTGTTGCCCAGGATGGAGTGCAGTGGTGCAGTCTTGGCTCACTGCAGCCTTCACCTCTTGGGTTCAAGCAATTCTCCTGCCTCAGCCTCCTGAGTAGCTGGGACTACACACCACCACACCTGGCTAATGTGATCAATTGGGCTATAGATGGAGAAAGCAAATTTGTGGGCTTAGCAGAAATTAACAGTCATTACCATCTGCACTCTAGAACGAGCACCAATTTATGGGATTAGCATTGAGCAAAATAAGAGTTTCAGAGAACCAAAATAAGGGTGAAACATTAAGTTAGAAAGAGGAGGCCCAGCACATTCCACGTAGCATAATGAGTCCTGGAAGGACGTAGGGTGTGTGAGCGCTAATAAAAGGCATGTGTGGGCACTCTCCTTTACTATTCGCCCTCGGCTTCATTCTGACAACCAGTTAAGAAGTTCAGTACTGTGCAGGTGTTCATTAACTCCGTGGCCTTAGGCAAGTTTCTTAAAGTCTTGGAACTTGGAATTTCAATTTCTTTCTTTCTTTCTTTTTTTCTTTTTTTTTTTGAGATGGAGTTTTGCTCTTGTCACTCAGGTTAGAGTGCAATGGCACTATCTTGGCTCACTGCAACCTCCACCTCCTGGTTCAAGCAATTCTCCTGCCTCAGCCTCCCAAGTAGCTGGGACTACAAGCGCATGCCACCATGCCCAACTAATTTTGTATTTTTAATAGAGACGGGATTTCTTCATGGTGGCCAGGCTGGTCTCAAACTCCCTACCTTAGGTGATCTGCCCGCCTCAGCCTCCCAAAGTGCTGGGATTACAGGCATGAACTACCTACACCTGGCCAGAACTTCAGTTTCTTTACATGTACAATTGGTATAATAAAAAAAAGGAGGGGTACAATGAGAGAGTGGTGACGATGAAGTGACTTACATGAAAACCAGTTGTTCACAGGTGGTCAACAAATATTAATTCACTTCTTGTGAGCTTTTCCCTCTCTTGTGCCCAGGCCGCATCTTTCTCCATGGCATTTACCACCATCTAACAGTGAGAGATAACTTACTTCTCCGTTGTCCCCATTAACTTGTCAGCTGCAGGAGGGCAGGGATTTTGTTCGCTTTGCACCGAGCACCTTGAGCCATGCCTAACACGGAAACCTTTCCTTTGGACAGCGCCATCTTGGACTTCTTTGTTGTTACTTCCACGACTTTCATTTATGAGGTTTTTGGAAAATGTTCCTTGATGAGAAAATATTGGAGAAAAATTGGATCATTTAGAAAGATGGGCAAATCTGCTCCCTGAGAAATTAATCTGCCTAGCAACCTGTTACCTGCTACTCTCTAATGGCTGAGCCGAGTTGCCATGAGCAGGAAGCAGGTGGCTTTGTCATGGTGTAGTGAGTGACCAGCGCCTTCTTGGCTCAGGGGGTGCAACCAACCAGGGCTGGGAATAGGGTGGCGCATTACTGAAGGGAGACAGAGAAAGACGTGCAGAATACAGATGTGTTTGTTTTCTTCTTTGCACTGACCTATATGTCCTTTGGTGAGGAGCTCTATGGCTTTTGAGTCAGAATAAAGTTATTAAGTGAAAAAGGAAAAAAAAAAAGCAAAAAACAAAAACTAAAGAGCTAAAGTCATTTTCAGAGCAGAGTTCACAGTAGAGTCCGTGTGGCTCAACTGCCTTAGAATTTCCCAAGTTGTTGGTGTAATGTGAATTTCTCAGACCTCCTGAACCTGAAGGACTGAGGTCTGGGAGTCTGCATTTGTTCAGTGAGCTTCCAGGTGATTCTGGTGCACTGCCAAGTTTGACGCCTGAGGAGTAATCTCCAAACTTTTTAAAAATCATGGAGCCCCAATATATGTATGTTTGCTTGTTTATTTTTTAATGTTCTAAAGTGACTGTTCTAGTGTATTGGGTACATTATAAAACATTCACAAAAATTGACATTTTTAAAAAATGAAAAAAACCATATAGATTAAAGTTTACATATGAACTTCCCACACCACATTTTGGATGAGTATAATTTATGCCGGTTAAATGTTGTGTAACTGATCCTCAGGGTGATTGTGATGACACAACATTCATTTTCCCAAGTTTGTGGCCCCAACATCAGTAGGCATTATGAGGCAGCAGGACTATCTGCAGAGGTTTTATTTCTGCTTCAATAGCATCATGAGGAATTCTCTTTCTCCGCCTCTCCCTGTTTTTCTACCTCTCCACAATGTTCGCATTTGATGCTGGGAAAAGTTGTCATGTTTACCCTCTTT